TCCAGTGTGGCTGCTGAAGCTCCAGCGGTTGTGCCCATGATCCGGCCGTCACGCAAGAGAAAAGGCTGCAGGGGGAAGACATGTCCCAGAGGTTACACGTGTGACGGGTCACCTGGCTAAAGCTGAGTTACTGGGGTGGGGGTGGCGCTCTTCAGAGGCCTGCCTTTAGGCCAGGCCTGGGGCCAGCAATGGCCTTGGCTGCAGTCCAGCTGGCCACCCAGGGCTGACCCCTGGCAGCACCTCCTTTTAGGGCAGTGGTTGTCCACCAGGGCGCCTGGCCATGTTTGCACACTTGTGGGTCTCACAACTGGGAGGGACGTTGGTGGCAGCCAGTGGGGAGAGGCCACAGATGCTGCCACACACCCTGCACAGGACGGTGCCCCCCCTCACGGGGGAAGGGGACTGCCCTTCTGTGCCCGGTGTCCGTTGAGTGAGGGTCCGTAGCTGCAATCCATGTGACTTTTTTTCCATTTTATTTTTTTAATACATTTTTTATTGATTTCAGAGAGGAAGGAAGAGGGAGAGAGAGAAACATCAATGATGAGAGAGAACCATTGATTGGCTGCCTCCTGCACACCCCACACTGGGGATCAAGCCCCCAGCCCGGACATGTGCCGACTGGGAATCGAACCCTGAGCTCCTGGTTCATAGGTTGACGCTCAACCGCTGAGCCACGCCGGCCGGGCTCCATGGAACATAGGACACGCTGGATAGCAGGCCCTGGTTTCAGAGCCCAACCCCCTTCCCATTGCGCTCTCCCAGGGGAGGGCCTGGGGCCACCGGCATGAGGATGGGAAGCACTGGTCAGCGCCAGCCAGCAGGGCTGCTGGGGCCTGGGCCCCACCCCACCCCCCCCACCCCCGCTCAGACGCATCTCTGCCCGCAGATCCAGCACACGGAGGACATGGAGAACGAGATCGAGGAGCTGCTGCAGGAGTTCGAGGAGAAGAGCGGCCGCACCTTCCTGCACACCGTCTGCTTCTACTGAGCCAGCAGCCACCCCGCCCGACGGCCTCTGCGCTGCCTGTTGTTAATACTTGTTCCTTCCCACCCGTTCTGACCCCGCGGGCTGCTGCCCAAGGATGGCCCCTGCGCTGTACATAGTTTGGCCCCACAACTGTCAAGTTCGGTGTCCCACCCTCGTTACTAGTGTGAAATTAAAGTGTTTTTCTTTAAGCAAAACCAACACACGGTTTACAGTTACTTCCCCCAACGTCTGCCATTCTGTGTTCCCTCCCGACCTGGCTGGACGGTACGGGCACCTGGGGAGCCTGCAGTGTCCAGTGAACAGCTGTGCCGCCTCTGCCTTGTCCTGAGCTTGGCCCGTCCCTCTGGCCCCCACAGGTTCCTCTGGAGGAGGCAGAGCTGGGTGCCCGACGGGCCTCCCCGGCCACTTAGGGGTTCTCTGCTGGGCTCTGTGGCTACAGTCCAGGGGTCCAGGGCCCGGCTTCCTGGCACCCAAGGGTTTCTGCGGCCACTGCGGCTGCTGGCAGAATGGGGCCCTACTCCCTACGGCACCTGCTCCCCACCATTGACCGCCCCCCCCCCCCAAGTAGCCTGGCTTCCCAGTGACCCCATTGACCCTCCTGGTTCATGGAGAGGAAAAGCCCGGTCCTGCGGGGGTTGGGGTGGTGCAGGCAGTGCAGCCACGTGTCCTGGGCTGTGGAGGAGGGAGCTCCTCGGAAGCCTCCCCCAGGCCCCAGCATCACGGGGCTCCCAGGTGCCCGGGACTGACCCTCGGAAGGCAGGCCGAGCTGCTGCTGCCCCAGCCGGGGGGAGGGGAAGGGGGGCATCCTCTGCTTTTCTCAGCTGTCCTGGGCCCTGTG